TAAAGATAAAGAGTTTGGACAAGTCAATCTAACGGTTAATCTTTTGTTCCAAGAAGAGTGATGGCTGAAGTGTGCGCATTACGGATGTGCAACTTTTTTAAAAAACTGTTTGTTTTTTTCAGATTCGGATATCAGGGAGCTGAAAAATACTGGTATTCCTGGTTTCCAAATACAGGTTTGGTATTTGGATCCAGGTTGCTTTTGTTTTTTGAGATGCTGATATTTTTGCCTCCATTATTCCCTATGGGGAATCTTTCCATGGGGCTTGGGGGGGCTGTTTTAAAGCTAGTAGCACCAAAACTGCAGTGCAAGTTCTGGTTTCTGTCCTTTAAATAACCTCCAAATTTCAAGTAAAAGGCACTGAAGGAAGCAATGGTCCGCCCTCTCTTTAAAAAGTCAACGCTGGACCCGGCCGAATTGGCCAGCTATCGACCGGTGTCCAATTTGCCCTATCTGGGCAAATTGATCGAGAGGGCGGTGGCGACACAGCTGCAGGGCTTCCTAGATGACACTTCCGCCCTCGACCCATTCCAGTCCGGCTTTCGACCTGGGCATGGAACAGAGACTGTACTGGTTGCCCTTACTGACGACCTCCGTAGACATCTGGACCGAGGTGGTGTGGCAGCACTGTTGTTGCTCGACCTGTCGGCCGCATTTGATACGGTCGACCATCAGTTGCTTACCCACCGCCTTGCCGACGTGGGGATTCAGGGACTCGTCTTCAATGGCTTGTCTCTTTCCTCCAAGGTCGGGGACAGAGGGTGGAATTAGGGGAGCAGGGGTCCTGGAGGCACCTGCTTGAATGCGGTGTGCCTCAGGGGGCGGTTCTCTCCCCGATGCTATTTAATATCTATATGCGCCCCCTCGCCCAGATTGTCCGGAGGTATGGGCTTGGGTGTCATCAATATGCCGATGACACCCAGCTCTATCTGATGTTGGGTGGCCAGTCGGACTCTGATCCAGAAGATCTGCACCAGGCGTTGCAGGCCGTATCTGGATGGCTCAGGCTGAGCCGGTTGAAGCTGAACCCAGCGAAGACGGAGGTCCTGTGCCTGGGTCGGAATGGGGTGGGGCTGGGGCTCCCGCTCCCAGCCTTCGATGGGGCGCCGCTGGTGCCAGCTTCGGAGCCTGTGCTTAAAGCACTGCACTGGCTGCCTATAGCATACCGGATTCGCTTCAAAGTGCTGGTGCTTACCTTTAAAGCCCTACATGGCCAGGGTCCGGCATACCCCAGGGACCGCCTTGCCCCACATAGGTCCCAAAGAGCACTTCGGTCGGGGTCGCAACATCGTCTTGCGACCCCAGGCCCGAAAGAGGCCAGGCTTGCTGCCACAAGGGCCAGGTCCTTCTCGGTGGTGGCTCCTATCTGGTGGAATGAGCTCCCAGAGATCAGGGCCCTGCGGGACCTGTTGCAGTTCCGCAGGGCCTGCAAGACGGAGCTCTTCCGCCAGGCTTTCGAATAGGAGCCGCCGCCGGCACCACCACCACCAATGAGGACCGTTCAGCAGCACCGCCAGAGGCTGAGTGGCAGATTAACATCAGGGGGCCACAGCAACCTCCCTCGGAATGAAAGGGCATGTGCAATATGGAGAGAGGGTTTTAGTCACGCGGGATCCTTGGGCGTGGCCCATGTACTAATTGTTTTAAATTGTTTTATTATGTTTTATTGCACTGAGTGCCATACGGTTGTAAGCCGCCCTGAGCCTGCATGCGGGGAGGGCGGGGTATAAATAAAATGAAATAAAATAAATAATAAATAAATTGGACCGAAAGGGCTCCAAGAGATCTCTATGGGCTCCCGAACAAGATGCCCCCCCCAGACATTCTTCACTGATTCCTAAGGGGGGGGGAATGTAAACCCTGAGAATCCACACCTCTGTACACCCCAGAATTGCCAAAGCAAATTGGAACACTGTTGCAAGCCTAAAAATGTAAACTCAGAGAATCACAAAAAAATGTAAAACCTAAGAATCTACACCTATGTCAAACCCATTAATCCACAGCAAAAAGCAAACCTGATACAAAGCAACTAGAGCAAAGAACAACTTTGGGAAGTTAAGAAAAACAATTTAAAAAGGCATAATCCCTCAAAAGCCAAATTGGCAAGCCCAGAAAGACACAGACACTCCAGGGAAAACACCCATCCACCCGGAAATCAGTCCTGGGATTCTTCAAATGCTGGCTCCTGATATTTCTGGTTACTCCCAAGTATTCCTGAGATTTTTTAGGAACCATTTTCCAGTATTTTCCAGATACATATTTGGTTCAGTTGTATCCAAACGCACATCCCTAGAATCTTTTTTAAAAAAGAAAGCCCAGTAATTTGTATCTCAAATTCAATCTGAAATCTAAATGTTAGCCTTTTGGGGGGATCTATAATTCAACCTCTACTCAGGACTCAAAGGCAAGAAAAGAGGAAGTTGACGGCATCTCTTACTTCCCAAAGGGCAGAGTGGACTAAAGCGGTGTAATGTTCCTTCATCCCCATTGACTTCCCAGTCAGGTAATTGGGGGGAACAGAAGAGTATCCCTGCCTGCCCCCTCCCATGGCACCATAAAGAGGCCACAGCCAACTGGAGCTCATGGGCTCCGGCAGCTGAGCTCAACTTCCGAGGGAGTTGGTGGCCCCTCCCTCTTGGCACACACTGAGTACACAAAAAGCTTTCTGAGCATGAACAACTCCACGCAAGGTCCCATCTGGGGTTCCTGTGCCTTTAATGGTTGCACAACTAGCAGGAACAGAGAAAATGTTACTTCTTCAAATTCTTTAAATCTGTGGGGGAAATTTCATCTGCAGAATTTCAGCCTGTTATGCAGCTGTTAAGTCAAGTCACCCCTCCCTTCCACCTACTCCTGGCAGGGCTGCTCCTCATACGGGACAAAAGAGTTGTCCATCCCTGTTCCCAGTAGTATATAATGGGGCATTTCTTATGACAGGACTATGAACTTTGTTCCTATTTAACCAGAAATGAACCAGCCAGCCATGTATTGAAAGATGAGGCCTGAGACAAAGTGTTCCTCAGTTCCAGAACAATCTAACCCACACAATGCAAAAACTGGGGTAGTCACTGGGCACCACACAGATGCCAGTTACTTACATCAATGATAGCTGCAGCACTGCTGTCAAGGTGTTTGTACAAGTCATACAAAACCTCTCTCAATTTCTTCATCATTTTCTTGTTTGGTTGGAGCAGCATTGCCTGGAAGTTGACTGGCAAACCATACCTACAAGGCAAAACATTTTACATTTTGTCTAAGAATCTAGCAATTCTTCTAAATCCAAATTAATTTGGGGAGACAGGAAACTGACAACAGATAATCTTTAACTGCTGTTTTTATTTTATTGGAAAAGGATCATTTCTTTTATTTTGGGTGGCTTTTTCATTACTATTCTTGAATCCATTCTTTCAGTTTAACAAATAATTGCGATAAGAAAGCCACAACGCTTTTTTCCTTGAAGCTCTTTAGAGAATGTTCTAGTGTTCCTAGTTCTTTGTAAAAATCAGTAAAAATCAATTCCCATGGGATTTCTTTTCCTTTTATGGTTGTACTTTAATTGGCTTTGTTTTCAATGGTCTTGTTTTATTATCGTAGCTGTAAACCACTTCAAGCAGGTTTCTGGAAAGGCAGTATATACATTTTCTAAACAAATCACTCTTTCATGTATAAATCACTAGTCCCTTTGGATCAGTCATCTCTTAACAGAAAAAGTGCATACAGATCTTCTAACATTCCCCTGTACAACAGCTGAGGGTAGAGAAAGACCGCTATGCAAGAGACCCACACATCTGGGCACACATCTGTCAAAGTGAACAGTACAGCAACACTAGGCTTATAGCTCCGCTGCGGAGGAAAGACTTGTTGCTAGGTGGTCACCTCCTAAGCAGTGGTGGTGTGATACCTTTCTGGTCATTTCTTTCCATCCAACATTATTCCACATGGCAGCCTTTAAACAGTAACATGCTAATATGTGCCATTTTATTACATATTGCCTGCAAAAGAAACTGCTGCAAAGGTGGAAAGAGTTTAGAGAACTGTGGAAACGCTTCTGTATATTGACATCAGAGAAGTGCTAGAAACAGTTCCCGGAGTCCAATGTGATGCAGTGACTGGGGGTTACTCACACATTCGCAGCCTAACATACCTCACAAGGTTGATGTGAGGATAAAATGGAGAAGATTGATGTAAATGGCTTTGGGTGTCCATGGGGGAGAAAGATGAAGCAGATAACAGCGGAGATTCAGATACCTTAAGAGAACTCACTAGTGATATGTAACCGGGGGGGGGGGGGGGGTTAGAACGCAAACAGACAACTAAAACCTTGATCCTTTAGTGTAGTCTACTGGTGGCCTTATGAGTACCAAAATATGCAGATTTAATATTAAAATGACGAAACAGTTCTTTTTAGTGTATTTTATGAACTGTGATCTCTCTCTGATTCACATGAATAAGGTTTAAGAAGTTCTTTATCAAAATACACATTTAGTTCAGAGAATCCTGGTGGCTGTGTTCCTTAAGCAGTACAGTTACCAAAGATTCACTGAACTAAGCTTACAGAATGCTCTTAAGTTCCTGAAGGAAGGTACAATCACTTGTTTATTCATACCTGAGAACTGATTCAACAAAGACTCTTAGTGCTTTCACATGAATCCATGCAATGAAAGCTTCACTGAAATTCACTTTCAGCCACCGGACAAGAGGTCCCTGTATTTGAGTAAAAAACCAAGATGTTTTAGTATCTCAAAACTCTGCTGTATTAAAGTATGTTACATAAGGAAGTGCAGCTACACTTGCCCTTTGGACTAGGCCAGCTTATGTTAACATTATTAAGTTCTATCACTGAATCCAATTTTTTGCTGTGAAACTAAGCTCTTAAGCATCATGAAACTGGTGAAGAAAAATGGAATGGGTTGCCTGGAATGAAGCATAATTTTGCTAAGTGCAAATTCTTTGCAGACACAGTGCAGATCCCCAACCAGACAACAAACAGTGTTTTCAGAACCTCTAGATAAGACACAGACAGTAGCCCCCTCTGAAATGCCTTGTGCAGAAATATTCCAGGCATGTGTGTAGGGAGTAACTCCATAAGCAACACCTTGGGTGGAGGTAACAGGGATGGCACAACGTGCTCCATACTGGGTGTGGAAAAACACCCTCCAGTTCTGCAAGTGATTGGTGGCAATTAGTCATTCCCAAGTTTGTAAATGGCACATCGCTGAGCAGAGACTTGGGACAACCACAGAGTGGTTCTGACCTCCGGGAGGGCCAATCAGAAGGGCTATCAAGCCTGTTCCTTCGCATCACCTCCTGCTTTTGCAAGTCTTGAGGGTCTGATGAATCTTAGTGTTGCCCATAATATTAAACTACATTTTACTAGAAAGTGCAGCCCTAATTCTAGCCCACAATAATGGGATTATCTTTCAGACAATTAAAAAAAATGTCATTATTGTGTCTCTTTAGTTAAAGCACTGCTTCTCATACCTCAAGGAATTAAGAAATGTCAACAGTCCTTTGTCTTACATACAAGTCCTAAAAAGAGAGGTTGGTGGGGGAGGAAACTGTTTCATGGTTTGAAGAATTACCAGTGGTACAGGTTTCATTTAACTTACAAACTGTTTTTTCTTGTCAGTAGACAGTCTGTCCATCTCTAGTTTGTCTGCCTTCATTTCTTCTTCATTATATTGAAAGTCACGGACCATAAATCTGCATATGAAGAGCAACAGACAATGGAAGAATACTGCAGATCTATGATTAGACAGGAAAAAGAAAACAAGCTAGGCTAGACCACTTACTTGTTTTCCCTGGCTTTTTGTCTGAATTCATCCACTACTTTCCTGAACAAGGTGATGTTACAGAGATAACTATCCTGGTCCTCAGAAAGAACACTGCAAAGAGGAGGGAAAAAGGTGCAAGAGATCACAGGCCAAAAGCAACAACAAAAAATAAATTTCTGTCTTAAACTGTAGCCTGTAACTTAAAACAAATTTCCATGCTAGGCTTACAGACAATGTACCTATTAGAGGGGGAGTAGTTGCACCTCACCTCTGCCATCCTTAGCAGGACGACTGAGGTCACATTTCACATTCAAAAGGAGGCCCTTCGAAGCTCAGCTATACTAAAATCTGATGGCTAATTTAAAATGTCCTTTCAGAAAAGAGCTCTATATGATCAGTCCAATTCGAAGTACAACTGGGAGTTTTCAAGAGTTCCGCTGATTTTAGCACTTTGTTAAGAGAAAGGGAATAAATAAACAAAGTGATGGAATGACAGGTGTTGCAGAAGGAACTGCTGACCACTATTTGGGGACAAAGATTAAAGCAGGGGTCCCCAACCTTTTTGAGCCTGTGGGTACCTTTGGAATTCTGCCACAGCGTGGTGGGCGCAACCACAAAACGGCTGTCTCAGAGGTGGGGAGACACACAAACAAAGGAAGCCCAAGAGCAGGGCCGAAGAGGGGCAATTAAAAATATATTGGGGGAAGAGGGTGAGAGAGAATAAGACAAACACTGAAAAAAATGCTGTTTTAATCTACATAGCCAATCAAACCTTCAGTGGCAAATCAGAAGCCCTGCTGTGCAGCTGCCCTACCTGGTCCCACCCACTTTCTAAAAACACTCAGTGGGCACCAACAAAGGTGTCGGTGGGTACCACGGTGCCCATGGACACCACACTGGGGACCCCAGATTAAAGCATCTTCAAAGGTTTCAAAAGACAAAGTGTGCCGCTAGAGCAGTGCAGTCTTCAGGATTCTCTGATGCTCTTCAGGAGTAGCCACCAGCATTGGATGTGTGTGTTAGGTTGGAGCCGCAGGAGTTAGCCCTTCCTTCACGCTACCTCCTGGATAGAAATTAATTAATTCCTAGTATTAATAGTAGTCTGACCTATTATTAGCCCCGGGAGGAGTGGAGGTTGTCTGTATCCCACCTCCTGAAGGCAACAGCAGCCAGAAGGGGGAAGAGGGGGAGACTCTTTCAGCAACAGAATGGCACAGGGGAAAAGCATCAAGCTCAATCCCAGTGCTGCAGCTGTGGTCCAGATTCCACCCCCACTACTACCAATGTAACTACTTTTAAAGATGGCAGGAAATCCTATCACAGATATCCAGCATCACCTAGTTACATCCAAAGAGGGGAGATCAAAGTGGGAGGTCCTCCTGCCTGGTCTTCCCAGGAGAGTCCAATCAACTGAAGAGCAACGGAAGATGCCATCTTAGCCTTCAGCACTGCTTAGACCATGTCTTGTTAAAATATACTCCTTCATACATCAACTCTTTTGGCATTTCTACCATGCGGTCACAGTAAGGTTACTATGCTAAACCACATGGTCCTTATCCCTATGTAACTAGGTGCCCATAGTAGTAGCTGTACACTTAACTAGGGCTTCTCCCTTCTCTTGGCCTTCCCAAATTCCGATGCATGATGTAGAATGATGTATAATGAAATTAAAGGCTGTTTCTCATATTAAATTTCCCTATACTCAAATACTCTTGGGCATAGATTATACATCCCTATGTAAAAGGCACACAGCTACATCAGTTTTATTGTATTTGTTATGTAGCAATGCAGTTCATGCTTAGCAAAACGTCCTGCCAACTAGTTGTGTACAGGGGACGAGGAAGAAATTACTGAAATAGGGGTGGTGGTGGAAAGTGCCATCAAGTCACAAGTCAACCCATGGTGGGTCCCGCAGGGTTTTCAGGGCAAGAGACATTCAGAAGTGGTTTGCCATTGCCTGCTTCTGCATAGTGACCCTGGACTTCCTTGGTGGTCCTCCCATCCAGGTACTAACCAAGGTCAATCCTGCTTAGCTTCTGAGATCTAATAAGCCTGAGCTACCCAAGTCATGGCACTGCAACGGTACCAGCATTTAAACAAAGGGTCCATGAAAGAATAGTTTATTTTTTCAGTCCTGCGTCATAGCCCAGCAATCTTTTCCATTCCGTTTCTAAAAGATATTCAAGAAGATGACACATGAAAACAGGGTATGAAAATGAAACAACTTACTTGCTGGATCGTGGGACTATCATATCTGTCAGTGTTTCATATTGTTTAACCCAGTCATTATAATTAGACCTAAAAAGAAAAGTAATTCATTGTAACCACACACACACATATATATACACAGGAGGCATCCAATAATTTTCGTCACTGTCGACACTAGTGTCCTTCAGACACACTTGCTGGGATCCAGGTGGTCAGCCGTGCTGGTCTAAAGCAGGAGAACAAATGTAGAGTCCAGTGGCATCTTTAAGACCAACGAAGTTTTATTCCAGGTATGTGCTTTCATGTGCAAGGCACACTTTTTCAAAGCAGCCTTCCCTCCTGTGCATGCCCAAGTGCCTCCCGCTTACACAAGCAAGGGACTGGATCCAGTATTTAATCATTCATTCATATATTAATCGAATATTCTGTTTTATGTTTAAAAGTTGTTACCATACTTAGGAAGGGCAGGATACAACCTGAATTCATTATCTCAAAAATTCTGCTGATTCAAACAGGAATGTTTTGTGTTAATTTCTGTTTTACTTCCTTGCAGGCCTAAAAATACCTTTTAATGCCCTTTAGGTTCATACACATGCATCTCTACCAGAATATTTGCTCACAACTTTCAAAGAACAATGCAAAGAGAGCTTGGCATTGTACCAGCCACTCACAGGGAATACAACACTATTAGTTTTATCTGTAATATTGTAATCAAAATAATCTGTAGTTTAGGCATTATTGGACAGGGGTGCAGAGCCACGGTTAGAGAGATAAGTGGAGTGGTAGGATTTCAGTAATCTAATTCACAAGCTAACAGTTAAGGAATGTTTTGCTTTGCTCTAGCATATTTAATGCCAGAGAGGACACACATGCACACAGCTGGGAAAGTTTCTCTTCTAGGAAGAATCACGTCTATATGGGAAATACTGAACAACCAGTTCCAAAGTGTTTTAGGTGAAACTCTGTAAAGATCAACCAGTAGTTCACAGTGACTGCAGATTCTTACATCAGCACACACAGATTTCCGAGCTAATATGTTAAGTTACAACAACAAAATCACGTGGCGACATCTTTCTATTTCATTACGTTTGCTTGCATTCAAGGTTCGGTGAAGCTTCTTTTCCAAGAGAATGACTTACTTTGGTACAACTACTAACAATGTCATCAAATATTCGGAATCAAGTACAAAGTCCTCTTTCTTTACAATTTCGGCAAGACTTCTTGTTAGCAAACTTCCCCTGTCAAAAAACCAGAACGGAAAGTGAGTAAATGAAGTCTTTGTCTGAATAACATGAGCTAACCAGAAGCTAAATTCAAGTTTTCAAACATAATCCTAAAGTAGTCTATATAAGGTACCATTCCTTGTACTTTGGATAAGGTTGCACTCCCCTCAAGGTTCAGGTCTGTGGTTTCAGGGTGTTCTTGGATCCAGTTTTCTTCTAAATGGCCAAGTAGCAGCTCTGACTAGGAGTGCCTTTTATCAGTTTAGGCTGGCATATGAAATACAACACTTTAAGAGTCTAATATAGCTATGTTACTTGTATCTGGTAGCACCCAGATTAAATTATTGGAAGTTTCATAAGAACGTCAACCAATTCAAAATGCAACCACCCAATTATTATCTGGAGCAGTCACTTCCAACTCTAACCCAGCAGCATAAGGTTCCATCCTGTTTCTGGGCCCAATTCAGAGACCTGGCTTTAACTTGTAAAATCCTAAATTTTGGGGATCAAAACAAGAGCAGGACAACTCACGCATTCTTCCTTTCCAAGTTCTGAAGGTTGCCTTTCAAGCTGTTGTATGCGGATGCCCTTGCTTTTAGATCATTGTCAATCTGAGTCACTCCCTTTAAAAAGAAAATTCAGGAACAAGCAATATCACAAGCTAGATATGTATGGCTTTTGTAGATTAGGGGCTACATTCATTTTCTTAAAAGTCTCTCTAGTAAGTAAGGCTTAGATGCAAACTCTGCTTGCCGGATGAATCTGTTACACCTCTCACACCTGCCCTTCCCCAAAGCTACTTCTGTGACTGAGGGAACCTTGAGAAATGTATGGGATGTAGCATCAAGCAATAGCTTCAGTGGAAAGCACACACACACTACGATCTCCCCACACACCTTGTGGGAGTAGAAGTGCCTTACACTTGCTCAATGGCTATCTTTTGTTCCAACCTATTTACAAAGGACATTTCATTACCTTTGATTATTTATCCTGATAATCTGTGTTGTGGTTTCTGTCCAAAAAAAAGGTATGAGGAACTCTGGAGGAGCCTTGATCAATCTGTTCTTGGTGCATTCAAGAAATCAAGCTACACCCTGCTGGGAACACTTCTTATCAGTTCTTGCTCTGATCAAGACATCTTCAAGAGCCAGTTTGGTGTAGTGGTTAAGTGCGTGAACTCTAATCTGGGAGAACTGGGTTTGATTCCCCACTCCTCCACTTGCACCTGCTGATGTGACCTTGGGTCAGTCACAAGCTCTGGCACAGCTGTCCTTGAAAAAGAGCAGTTTGTGTCAGAGCTCTCTCAGCCCCACCCACCTCACAGGGTGTCTGTTGTGGGGAGGGGAAGGGAAAGGAGCTTGTAAGCCGCTCTGAGACCCCCAAGTGAAGGGCGGGGTATAAATCCAATCTCTTCTCTTTTAAAAAAGACAAGAAGGGTCGCAAATGTGATGCCCTGATCTATCAAACCCAGAACCTCAGAGAGAGTGGTTGTACAAGGTGCTAGGTACTCTGTGTGAGTGGAGAAGTAGCAAGCCACACAGCATCTCTACCAGTTGGAAATAATTTGCTATTCAGCCCCAATTCTCTCCATTAACAAGCCAGGGATGGGGTAGGGGAAAGAGAAGAGATATAAGGAGGCATCATTTTCTCTTAGGACTACTGTGCAGTACAAACAATTACTGCCACAGTTAGTCTGGGTGGGCTGGTGGGGCAGTGGAATGATGTGGTAAACAGAGAATTTCTACATTCCTTCCATTTGAAAGGGTCATAAAACAGTAGGGAATCAAAGCAATATAGAGGGCTTGCAGTTCCGAGTATTGCAAAGTACCTTCAGGCAGCCATTTGGCTGCATTAGTTCACTGGTTTAGAATATGTGAGTGAATGGGAGAATTCCTCAGACTGGGTGGGGGGGGGATGGATATTAAAGTCTCAATTTAAGCTTCGTTATGGCTACATAGAAATTAAAGACTGGTTAAAAGAGAACTGCTATGACTCATCATTGACATGGGATAAATACAAAGACAGCTTAGCTTCATCTAAGTCTGATGTAAACAATTTATAACCAGGATTTTAAAGAGGCTAGAGGGTATGTGTAACTTTGGTACGTGGGCCAAGCATAATCTAGGCGGAATAACAGATGTGTTAGCTGAAAACATATACACTGTAATTTATAGAGATATGTCAGAAGGTCTACCCAGAAACCATTCCACTATTTCAATATTTCCAGATAAAAAGTATAATACAGAGGATTATAGGCTCGTACGATATATTTAGGAAATCGTTATCTTCTCAGTAGATATTATTGGAACCTCCAAGGCTTACTGTCTAAGGTTTATTATATATTAATGGAAGCTTAAGGTAGAGATTGGAGTCTTAAGAACTAGCGGGAACAAGATTTATGGATTCAGCTGTTCAAATTCTCAGTATGATTCTCTCTCCAGACTCTCACTAGATGTGAAAGCCAAAGGGGGGGGAAATCAAGGTGTTTTATAAATGTTATATATTAAACCCTTTTTAAAGTATGTTCAAAACTAAAGGTGATTTTTTGTGGCAATGTGGGAAGCTTCAAGATTACATTTTCATGTATCATAGCAATGTACAGTGATTCAAGTTTATCGGAAAGATTGTACATAAAGTCTTATTACTATATGGGTATACAAGAGGATCAGTGAAGGCAACGCATAAATATCTAGCGGTGACTACGGCAAGAATTTTTATCACTTCCTTCAGAAACAAAATTATTTCCTTCCTCCCTAGTTGTTATTGAAGCACCATGGGATGGATCCTATAGATCCATTACACTAGCTACAGCCTCTTGTGTCAGCTCCTTGGGATAGAGGGAAATGCCATGGTGAGCAAAACAGATTGATAGGATCCAATCCATTGATTTTAACATGTCTGCATACCCAGAAGCCTCAATCACTTTGAGATGTATTCTACAATCTAAATCAGATTTTGGAAGGAAGATGAACATATTGAGCAACACATTGCAAAAGTGGGCTGGATCCAAACTAAATTTTCCAGTGGCAAACTGGAGCTTTCCTGCCTGCTCCTGACCTCCACAGAATGCTGCTCGTGGGAGACAGGGGGGCCCTGAGTAATGAGATGTGGGGGTGCAGTGAGAAGAGGGAATTGGTAGAAACTGCCAATTTAGTTCGACTCCAAACCATGGAGCCTGGAAACCAATTTGCCATTTTATAAATATGGCATGCCAAACATCAACTGGGGCAGGGGATATGCTAACCCTACTTCAATATTGTTATATTATAACAATAACAATATTGTTATTCTGAAACTATTAGATGAGTTAAAGAATTGAGGCAGCTTTTGAAAAACTGTGATACAAAATTAGAATTTAGAAACAAATTGGGCTCCTTTTTACTTACTTCCCTTTTTTCTTAGGCTTCAGCATTTTTACTTTCACATTTTTACATCTCTGGGAACATGACAACGAGACACAAATTCAAATAAAGAGGTAAAGTTCTCGTTCTGCTAGGAGAGCAGGTTCACACTATGAGGACAAAATATTGCTCTTTCCTTCACAATTTCTTCTAGAGCACCTCCCCCCAAAAGTTTCAGATGTCACAGTTAACTATAGTGTTGATGCAAGCTGCCCAAACACATTTGAATTGTACCTAGCTTGCTACCCCAAGCATTTACTATATGATGGGCTCTTGACTGAAACACAGAAAATACAAGCAGAAGCTAGGAAAACTGAAAGAATTATGTAAATTTACCACGTAAACCATAATGAAATAGAATTCCTCAAACTGGGTGGCAATAATAAAAGCAGACTGAATTTAAGGTGCTTCCTACAATTTCCCCAGATTTTCCACTTGAGCTACTGCCCATGCTCTGTAAGGATCCCTGGAATATTTGGAAACAGCCTTTCTTGGGGAACTGAGAGCTTCAGAAGATGGGAGATACTGAGAAGAATGCATTCTACCAGCAGAGCTCTGTTTGTAATCAGCTGGGATCCACCACAATGCATTCATTTCCTCTGTTCCAGGTAGTTTACATATCTCAGTAATCTTTACAATACCACTGTTAAGACAGCTATTATCCCCATGCTGCACAGGTGGAGTTGCAGCCCAGAACTGTGGTTTGCTGAAGGCCACACATAGCAAGTTATAACCAAGGTAAGACTTGAATCATGGAATTCCTGGCTCACAGACAGTGCTCTTAACCACTATAGCAGCATGGTACAGGTTTTGTTAAACACCAGGACATGCAGGCATCAAGCATCAAATGATTACAGAATAAGTCCAACAACTTCTACATTAGAAAAAAAAATGAAACTACAATAATCTGCACTAGAAATGAAGAATTCTGCATTGACATGGATAGCCCTGGTCATTACCAATGATAAGAAAGAGCTATGATCCTCACAGAGTTCTGAGCAAATCATTTCTGATGAGGGATAAATACACTTTCACATTACAGAGCAGAGAACCCCCAGCCTTTTATCTCCTTCTTGCCAAGTCATTTGACAAAGCTAGAAGCAACCTCTGCTAGTATAAAAAAGATCATTAACAATGATCAATCAGGATTTCTCAGTGCAACAGTATTTTTCTATGTTTTAACAAAGTAATCAATGATTTAATGTTTGAATCAATTTAAAAGAAAAACCAAACAAAATGCTTTGACATATCACCAGCACCCACATGATTTCCATTAATATCTTGCACTTCATTTAGTAGAGAAAAGAAGTCCCTAAACTTGAGGGTAATAGATATGTTTGCACTTCCTCCCTTTACTTAGAACACCTCAAGGAAACTTGTGCAGTATCAAATGGTCACAATTAAGTCTATGGCCTAGGCTTTGGGTCGCCATTGTGGAGAAATGTAGGGTATAAATGAAGTAATTAACTAATATAGCTGAAGAGGGGGGGCAGATAAAAGGTAATTTGCTGGTAGGTGGGAAGGTGAGAAAGAAACAGAGAAACATGAGGATGGGGGGGGCGACTGCCAGGTGGAGGAAAAGATGAAATAGTGTGGGTAGGGGGACAGAGGGGAAAGTGTGGTGCCCCCCCTGCAAGCCCTTGCAGGTTCCCCACTATACAACTGTGCCTGGAATTTTCGAACACGTCAGTTTAAACACCTGCCTGGCTGTTCTATTATATAGCTACATTTGCTTTGGAAGTTTTATAGTATTTTAAAATATATTCTTTTTTATCATAGTGCAAAATGCATTGGACATCAAGTATTTGTTTAATTCAGACAATGTTCTGTGTACCTTCTAAATTTTTAAAAAGTAGATTAGTGCCAACACCCTTTACAGTAGCAACACACTTCAGTGTGGGGCCTCAAAAGGTAATTTTGCAGTCCGTGGGCTATTGCATTGCAGTTCATTAGGAAGCCGAGTGTACATTTTAAAGTTTCTAGGCCACTGTGAACTACATATGTTGGAAATGTATCATGAGATGACTTTCCTATACAGGGCACCACAAGGAGAGTTTTCCAGTAGGCAAAGGAAGGCAAGCGAGTAGAGAGAGAAATTTGAAGAGAAAAGATTGTAGAATGTGATGAGAGACACAGCCTGGTACACTGCAGGTTAATGCCAGATTAGTACAGTAAAAAGCTTTGTTAACCAGCATTTGGAGGGAATGTGGGGTTGTCAGTTAATTAAATATGCCAATTAACAGCGCTTTTACCCAGCAGCATCCCAGTGGGGGAGGCAAACCTGCCACAGTTACTAGGCCATAAAAGAGTCCATGTGAATAACTAATAACACATAAATGACTAGATTTAATAATATAATATATTAATATAAAATAACCTATAACCACAACATAGTGCATAAATCAATACTCCATAAATACAACATAATAAATATCCCATACAATGTGTCTAAATCATATAAAAAGTTCTTGCCAAATTATTTATATTTTATGAAAAGCACACTTCCTGGATTATAGTCTCTAGAGCTTCTGCATGTTGGATTCCAAATGATGCATGCCACTCCTTTAAGTAGTCCTTGCCAAATTTCACAGCTTGCAATATAACGTAATCGTGCTAAACCTGTTGGATTCCAAATAATGATTGTGGCTCCTTTTGGCAGTCCTTGCCAACTTTCAAAACTTGCAATGTAATATAGTTGTAAAAAGCCTCCTGTTGGATTCCAGATAATGCATGTGGCTCCTTTAAACAGCCCTTGCTATTTTACAAAACTAGCAATATAATATAGTTGTATATAGCCTGACAGAAACGCCAGCATAAATCTTCTGTTTCAAAAAAGGCCCTTTTCTCCCGGAAGATGCATGACACATCAGACTCCATGCATTAGCATCAAATATTCTTTGATCTGTTGTGATAAGCATGATAGTGAGCCATTATCCTCCGAAGAAGATTTTTGAAACAGAAGACTTATGCTGGGATTTCTGCCAGGCTGTATACAACTATATTATATTGCTAGTTTTGCTACAGAAGAGACCTCCTTTTATCACTTCATAGGTCAGAACCTCTGCTATATACAGTAAAACTGTCAGTTTCATCAAGGATGAGAACACAATCTTGAATAATGTTATTTTACCTTAGCAATTATTTCTGAAATATTCTTCAGAGACTGCTTGATTGGATACTTTGCCATATCCCACTGGAATCTGGTTATGTAGGTGACCAAGTCAACTAAAAACAAAGAGATTCAGTACTGACTTTGGTAATGCAAGCCATGATCTTTGCTACATTATTTGAAGATTATGGAACTAATTAAGGAAAAATTCTAAATATTTTATCAACCTATTAGCCCCTTTTGTAAGAGACTATATCTAGAATAAGACATAAGGAAGCAAGTGTAATAGAAACATTAAAGAAATTGACTGGGACAAAACTTCAAGGGACAAGATCATGTTTTATTTCAATCAATTGTACTTATTTTCTAAGCAACTAAACTGAGGTGTACTTCAAGAATGTTTTTACAGTTATGCATGAAGATTTGGCTCCAAACATAGATAGAACATTATGTTGACTGCATAAATAACCTAAACAATTACAAACAGGGTAATGACAGCAGCATCATATCAAAAGGAAATAAAACCATTTCTCAAGGAAGAAAATCTATTTATTTAAAGATTGATTTCCAGGCTTTTTGCCTGGCTTGAATTCTTGATATTACCTTTGTTACAGAAGTTACTTAGAGTAACCACAGGAAAGCATTTGCTGCATATACAGTCTACATTCAGAGCTATCCTATAGAGAACGTTAACACTTACCACCATTGGCCAGAAGGTTTTCATGAACTTTATCTTTACTGTCTTCGAGCACATCAGCCATATACTGCGCCACCTTCTTCACAGTACTGAAGACCAGGAAAGAGACAAAGTTAAGATTAAGAAATTAACCTATTTTATCTTTCTTCCCCTACACTCACCAGTAGCTGAAATGGTTATATTAAATAGGAATAACAATCTACATCATAATATCTTGAATTTTGTCTATCAGCCTGACAGAATTCAAGGTACAATACTGTGATATAAATTGTTACTCTTGCTAATGCTCTAAAAGACAATCTGAGAAATTCCTCGTGTTTTATATTAGGACCTATTCTTTGCCCCAGGAATAGAAAATGCCTTTTTCTTAAGGCTGGACATGGTCTCTTATTTTTGCCACATTTAATCAATTCACTCAGCTGTAGTACTACATCCAATATTACAAAGATCTAAACAACTATCAGGTAAAGCAGTGCACTAATTAGAAATGCTTTTTAGTGTTCAAGAAACTGAAAGCATGTTTCAGAATTCAAAGTTATAGACTGAACATTTTCATAAGGAAAACTGCAGTACACTAATATTAAGCTGGTTAACCTGAAAACTAAAGACCATTAACTAACAGCATCTAGGCTTGTATATTATGACCAGACTCAACACATGCTAGTTCAGATAATTTGCTGATACTAATAGTAGTAGTAGTTACCCTTCCACGAATGCATCCAGTTTAGCCAGCTCATCTGACAAACCAACTAAAACATCAAGGGTGCCGACCTACAGAGGACAAGAATGGTTTTAGGAAGTGTGAACAGCATAATAAAGTGGAATTTCTAGATTTACAGTCTCATGTACTCATGTTTACTCAGAAAAACAGACTACAATGACTTTTACTTCCCAATAACTGTGGACAAGATACCAGCCAAAGAAATTCTCCATTAGAAAAAGGTCTATCATTCTGAAGTAATGTAATTATTTTATCGATAATTAGGAAGCTACCTGACACATTAAGACAGCTACCTGACACATTAAGAAATTAGACAGTCCATCATCAGTCAGCAACACATGCCCTATAACTTGAAGTGATGTCCCACCAACACATACACACAGCAACAGCAGAAAAGAAAGTGAATTTTCTGGGATCCATGATGAAAATACACAGGTAAATACATGGCAGATTCACTGACCCATAATGTCTGAAGCGACCCTAAAAAAAAATGAATTAAACTGCAGAGGCCCAGCACTGACTGGCACCCATTTGACAAAGACAGACTGCAGCTCATGCCTCAGTGCCTACATACACACACAAACAGCCAAGTAAGTTAACCTCTTTCCCAAGTTATTTGTCTTTCCATACAAGCAGGTTGACATATTACAGGATTAGACATGCTACTTCCTTGGATGGAAGCTTGTGCTATTATTGATGTTTTATGAATTTTTTACTGTAATTGTATTTTATTAGCCAGTGCTATTTTAATGTTTAGATGTATTTAATTAAATGTTATTGTTGGAATGTTTTATTGTAAACCGCTCCAAGACCTCACAGGAGAGGATGCAGTATAAAAATTTAATTAAATACATAAAAATAAATAAAATTGTGAATCTCACCATCTCTCGCCAGGTAAGAGAGGAAAAAGCTCCAGAAGACAGTACCTGGCTTTAGAGTAATAAATACTTGGTTTCTGGAACTGCAGATCAGAACTGATGAAAACTGAAGTTCAGTAAATTTAAATCTGGATTTTTTAAAAAAACAACAGAGCTGCAAGTCTAACCAAGGACGAATTCTCTTCCTCACAAATCTACAATTTTAGCCATGACTTTTTGATACAACGTATTGGCACATTGCAGAGATGCAAAGTCAGTAGTTCCCTTGGGCTAATCAACAGGACCTTTCTAGATAGAAGTTTAAGGAACCTGTTTCAATGTGTCAAGGGAAAGGAGACTATATATCTATACAATGATATAAAGTGTTAACCATTTAAAATGAATTCCTTTAATCTTAAAATATATCTTAAATTACAGATTCTGCCCATAAAAGTATTGCCTCGTATCAGTAACATCCCTCAACTACAGAAACAATATTCAGAACACTGATGACTGCTTTATATACTATAGAAGCCAAGGAATATTAATGCATTGTGGAACTCCATGCGGAGGCCATAACTTTTGACTGCTGCCAATGATGTTGATTAGTCTTATTACACTGGATCACCACCCAATTCACCACCAAGAACACACAGAAAGTCTGAAGATGTGACACATAAGAGAGACAATTCAAGTAGTGAGCAGCTTTCAAATGGCATGGTTTCTCATAGCCTGGCACATAACTTTTGGGGAGGGCGGGATATAAATCCAAAAAATAAATAAATTTAGAAATCAACTGGCTCTTAATGCTGGCCCACTACTATCATATTGGTGATTACTGGTCAGCAGTCTAACTGCGATGTTTTGCAACAGTTGAAATGTTTTACAGTAAACTAATAGGAGTTGTGAAAGCAATTACCAGGCTACATACATCTAGATTTACACCGTGCAGTGACAGCGTGTGCAATTAAAATGAATATATGTTGTCTTCCCTATCCCCTATGAACATTGTTAGTCCCCTGTCTACAATGTGTAACTGTACATCGCTTTGAGCCCACTGGGGAAAGCGATTAATAAATTGAAAGTATTATTATTATTTTATTATTATTAGATAACTGCCTTAAGTCTTCTTGAGAAAGGCAGACTATGAATGCTGCAAAAAACAAACCGTGGCAAGATCAGAAAAGGGGGCAATTTCAATTTGTGCCATCCAGAAGTATTTGTATTGCACATTTTAAATAGGTCCAGGCATGGCTTGCAATGGTATGCTTTACTATAGAGATTCAAAGTATTGTTATCATATTCTTCAGCAGAATAAATGTGCCAGGCTTGCACTACCATGCACAATCTCCCTAAATCTAAGGCGCAAAGCAAAAGGATTTGAATGGATGAAAAAATGTTGACATACCTTTAAATCTGGAATATTAAACTTTGCATTGGTGGAGAGGTTGGCATTTTTAGTAGTTGCAGCATTCAGTTTCTCCCATGTTTGCTGACACGTTTTCTCCCCAGGAGCGGAAATGAGCCAGAACTCTGTCATGTTTGTCACTTTATCTTGACACTGATTACTTTGGAAGATACAGATGACCCTAAAACAAAAAGGAACATATTTAGCTATAGAGTAAGCTCCATTCAGAATACACAACTTATAACGTGGCACTACGTGGATGGAGTTCCAACAGCCGGGGGGGGGGGGAATCTGTGCAACTCCAGGCTTTTGCTAGGGACTCTTAAAGAACTGCAGAAGAAAATCTTTCTCAGCCAGCCAGACATAAAAGCACCTCCACACTGTTCATTGCATGCTTTTATTCAGTCTGCTGTAGGAAGGGGACGTTAGCTTCCCTTGTCCTCATACCAATCAAGATGGCATGAAAGATGATATTTACAATATAGTGTTACACTGTTTTCTCATGGCTTCTCCCCAGGGGACTGTAATTCTGCAAAGTGAGGCAGAGTGCTAGGGATCTCTCTAAAAGAGAGCCTTCAACTGCCCCCCCCCCGGGGGGGGGCAAACGACAAGCCTCAGGATTCTTTGGAAAGGAGAAAATATAAGAGTTAAACTGGTATAAAACTGCCTATGTTCATGATGTAGAAATAAGCCATGTTGAACGGTCCCTATATCAATTACTGGGGCTAGGAGTCACCAGAATAACCCCAAATAAATTTGTATGATGATTTGGGGATTACAGCAAAGACCTCCCCCCCCCCCCCGATCTTCATACAGTCTACAGGCTTATATTGTGCTGCATCTACTTCTTTTCCATTCATTTGCCTGGCACCTTTAGGGTAAACGAACAGCAGCCCAGTTAAGACATTATGTTCTAATCCTCAAAACCATGATTTGAAGAATCAGCAATGTGCCACAAGCTCATGCGCTCTCTCCCCACCTTCAGTAACAAGTTTAACCACAGTTTGCTGTGACTTGCAATTTGGCAAAACTGACAAAGAGTAACAATTTCATATTAAAGATCTACAACTGGATTTTATTTCTATCAGAATACTGACTGAACTTCGGAAAAGAGAACTGCCAAGATCAAAGAGCTTCCTTAATCTCACAATCAGGAGAAGAAGCCTGGAAGGCAATTGGAGCAATGGGAGAAAAATCTCCAGTCATTTTTGACTGAACACAGATCAGAGGACTTCTGAAAGCTTATTTGGAGGTGGTGCTGGAAGCAAAGAAACAATGTTTTTTTAAAAAACTATTTTTGTGAGAGTGTGTGTGTGTGTGTTAATGTGCTTGCGAGCCTGGAAGTCATGTTGACTTCTGGTGACCCTTAATGGGGCTAGGATGTTTCAGAGATGTGGCTTGATAACCTGCCTCTGTGACCTGGCCCTGGTATTCCTTGGAGGTCGCTCTTCGCTTCTGAGATCTGACAAGATTGGGCTTGCCTGGGCTATCCAGGCCGGGGCAAGAAACGATACTGCTCTGCCTGTGTTGTTCCTGTTATGAACCACCTCCTTCCCCTTACTACAGCCTATGATCCGGACTCCCTCACTCCTGGTATACAGCACCATCAATATGAAGGTGGCGCACAACTCTTTCTTTCTCCCCTTTCCCCTCACCTTTCTTTTAAAATCCAGGGAGGTTGTAAACTCTACACTGAAATCTGGAAATAGTGAAGGACCGCAGAAGTGCTGTGGGACCAACTGTACTTATGCAAAGCCCCTTCCTCCAGGCATCAGCATTAGCAGATGTTTGTCTGGCAGGGACCTGACAAAGGTCCCCCCAGCTATGGAACTCCCTTCTTTATGGCACTATTGTATTTTTATTGAATATTAAATATTTTGTAAGCAGCCTTGGGGACCATTGGGTTAAAAGAAAATCTATTAAAAATAGTTTAATACATTCTGCTGCATAAGCAGCCAGGCCTCAAAAAGCAACAAAAGACATATTTTGATCAACTATTCCTTGGTATACACACAAAGCAGAGCTAACAACTTTAAACAGAAAACATTTGCCAAAGGGACAAGAAACAAAAAGGAGGAGCTATTGTAGCCAACTGTAAAAAAGAATATGAAATAAAACAGAAAGTGAGAGTTAAAAATGCTAATGAAGCTTACAGATAGCATTAAAAGAATTACAGTGCCTTAAACTCTCTTAAATTGCCACATGGCACATGTTCACAAGCCACACGGCACATGTTTGCAGCCACTGAGCTAAGCATACCCTTAGGCTACTTAAAATTGAATGTTTGGATTCCACAGTTCATAATTAGCTTGCTTATATGAGCTCATGCACCTTACCCTTCACTCTGTATCCCTTGTTCTAGCAAACCACTAGCTGAAATGTAAGGCACACAGTTTGATAACTCAAATACTACAAGAGGAAAAAGAGGAATTAGCAAAGAGCCTTTAAAAAGACCTTCAAAAACACTGACACCAATATCGAAGGCTAGAAACGTAAGGGTAAAAATGCTGTGATAATTCAGCAGGGTACAAGATTTTTCTTACACAAATGTCATAACAGATGTACAAGATTTTTCTTACACAAATGTCATAACAAATGCATGTAAGCAGCAGCAAAGAAATGAGCATGAGCTAGTGATAGAAGACATTCAAAATAAACCTGATATAAAGGTGGACTGAGATAAAATCATTTCTAATTCCTTTGCTTTCCCAAGAGAATAAAGTTATTCAGATTTAATTGTTTTCTGAGAAGCTTAAGAGTCCCACAGCTTTCAGCTGTTAAATGCTCATGGGTTGAACAAACTGTCCGAAGCAAACCCCCTGATTTCCTCATGAAAAGTAGAACTACATAAAGTCAGATGCACAATTTGAACTTGAACTACGAACAAACCCCTCTAGATTCCTCACTCTACCCCTTAAAACTGTTACTTTCAAAATCTTGCATTCAGGGAACTGTTCCCATGACCAATGTCTGTTGAAAAATCACACATCTGGCACAGAATCCTCACACACTACAGATGGGTTTGATGCAGAACACGCTTCATGCCTGTTGCTCTCTTGTAAGAAGTAAGAGCAGGGCCCTAGAAACACTCCTGAACAACAACAACAAAAAGAGTTCCTTGGAACACATTAGAAGAGCCAGTGTGGTATAGTGCTTAAATTCTCAGACTCAGATCCCCAGAATCAAATCCCTACTCTGCCAGAACGCTCACTGACCCAGCAGCACTCCCTGAACCTAACCTACCTCCTAAGGTCGCTGTGAGAATAAAATTGAGGAAGGAATGATGCACACAACCCTGGATCCCTCAGATAGAAAAGTGGGATAAAAATGTAGTAAATAAATAAAACCATTGTTGTGACTATGATCTGGGCAGGCATTCTGATGGTAAGCTAGTCATAGCTCATGAGGAAATAACTTCCAGTAAGCAAGGCACACTTCAGGCTTGGTATGGCATGCCCAGATGTTCAAATGGGATTAGTAAATATAACCAAATATAAATGGTAAGCTTTTATGAAAAGCATTCTGCTTACTGAACCTTTGAAGAACACTTTCATGAAGACTACAATACCTCTGACAGTATCTCGTAAGGATAATGCAAACCACAGAGAAACACTTAAGGGCCTCTCTGCTACCCATCTGGACTGCAAATTAACTCACTTCCTAAGATTTTACTACAAAATGCCAAAGAGCTAGACCAACATAACCCCAGGAATATGAAAATGCCTACTGCTACTAGAGTTCATTTTTTCCTGAAATACCATTCATAATGAAATATGAAAATGGGCAGGCATAACCATTCAAAGAAATCCTAGTCCTATGAAATTAAAGAACTATATTAGGAAAATATAAATACCACTACCTTTAGTGTACAGTCTCCTAATTGCTAATGCTAAGCTTTTTTCTATCAACCCATAAGATTTCTTCAGGTAATCTTTCGGTAATCACTATCTTATTTTCATATGACTAGTGCAGTTCAAACTTCATTGTGTTTCTTGTCTTCAACAAATATTGTACTGCTTGGTTTATCTGGATGAAAGTTTAATGTATAAAAGCACCAACTGTTTCTCCCAGGTATGCCTTAAGATGTAATGGAACAGCTGAGATGGACTGTACCTCTCCCATATGCAGTTCCTGATTAGGGCTATAGTTCTTTGTCATTTGATTATAGTTCTTAGTCATTTGATTATATGCTGCGCTTTCCCAAAGGTTCACAGAGTAGCAGACACAAGTACTCGCATTGAGAATAAAAGAGCACACATACACACACACTGGCCTTTCCCTTGCAGGCACTTACAGGGAGGAAAAGATGAACACATCCTCTGGCTGGCCCTCCCATCTTCACCGTTCTTTTGTAGAAGGGAGGGAGAAAGCTGTTGCTCCTCTGAACTGACTGCTGCTAATGGTGGGAATGATTTCCCTGTAGCCCTATACTTCCTACGGCTGAGGCCAGACTATGTGTTGGATCCAGCTGACTTTTTTGCTCAGCCTCTATCATTTACCCCCTTACAGAACCTATCCCACAAGGTTTTTGTCCATGCAATGTATAGCTTTTTTGGGGTGGTCAGAAAGGACCCCCCCCTTTCATCAGTGGCAAAGCTGGCTGGCTCCAACATCGCCCCTTCCCTCACTTCAGTAACTACATTTTTAATCTTGATGATTTGAACAAGGACTCAAAAATTCCTCATCCCCAGCCACTGTCCTCCTCACTAGCCACCCCCATGCCTTTTCTTCTTGAAGCCTGAATCCTGACCTATCCAAATATGCCACAGTCTTAAATGGCAAATAGGCAGCAGCTGAATGTCAGACAACTCCAGCTGCTTTGCAGTGTCTCTATGTCCTTCCCAACCAATAGACACAGTTATCTTTTCTACTGACTCAAGGAACAACGCACAGCACTGAAACTGGGTTTGCATGGTTGCACAGAAAGCCTATGAAGATTAGAACAGAAGCAACACAGGACAAACTGAGATGAAAAGAAACAAGCAGAACGGATGCAAATATAACATAACACTAATAAATACTGCTAGATCATTGTTATGGGGAAGATGGTAGACCAGGGTAATATTACTCTTTTTTTTGTTTGTTGAGTTCCACCCTTAATTCCAATTCTTTCCATTCAGCCAGTCTGGTATAGTGGTTAAGTGCGTGGGCGCTAATCTGGGAGAACCGGGTTTGATTCCCCCCTCCTCCACTTTCAGCTGCTGGATGACCTTGGGCAAGCCATAGTTCTGTCAGAACTGTTCTTCAAAGAGCAGTTCTTGAAAGAGCTCTCTCAGCCCCACCTACCTCACAGGGTGTCTGTTGTGGGGAGGGGAAGGGAAAGGAGTTAGTAAGCCGCTCAGAGTCTCTGAGTGAAGGGCTGGGTATAAATATAATATCTTCTTCTTCATTTCAAACCTCCCTTTCAAAGTACATTTCCCAAAATGTGCAGCTATATCAAAGGTCTTGATTCTTCATCAAGATGTATAAACACATAATCTCAACTAACTCATGTATGATCCCACCAACAGCACTAAGTACATCACTGATTAATTAATTCATTAAACACTAGACTCTAGACCACTTTCCCCCTGCCAAGGCAGGGCTCAGGGCAGTGTACAACATAGTAAATTCATAACATATATAATTTTAAAATGGCTTAAACGATAAAATACTGTTTACTTTCATCTAAAAGATGGCGCTAGAGAATTCCAGTAGTGACACTGCCGCATGGGGGGGGGGGCAGGGGAAGGGAATGCCGGGAGGATGAGACCATTGCTGTCCTCAACCAAATGCCTGGTGGGACATCTCTGCCTTACATGCCCTGCAGAACTGCATCAGGTCCTGCAGGGCATGGATGTTATTCGGCAGAGAGTTCCACTAGGTTGGGGCCAGGCTGGAAAATGCTCCGGCACTGCTTGAGGACAGCCAGGTATCCCTCAGGTCAGGGGCCACAAGTAAGTTCTGATCTACTGAGTGCAATGCTCTTTGGGGTTATACTGGGAGCGGCTGTCCCAAAGATACGTGAGTCCCTGACCATTAAGGTCTTTGAAGGTCAATTCCAGAACCTTGAACTTGACCTGGTACTCCATCAGAAGCCAGTGTAGCTCTCGCAGCACAGGATGGATGTGCTTTGTACGCAGGGGGCCCATAAGGACTCGCACCGCTGCATTCTGTACAAGGGCGGGCCCACACAGAACGAGTTACAGTAATCTAATCTGGAGGTGACCATTGCATGGATTACGGTGGCTAGATCAGGGTGAGACAGGTAGGGAGCCAGTTCCTCAACCCAGATCAGTTGGAAAAACACCAGTTTGGTGACATTTGCTATCTGGGCCTCCATTGTTAGGGAGGCATCCAGAATCACACCCAAGTTCTTGACGGCTGGTTCCGGTCTTAAGCGCACACCATCAAGAGCTGGGAGTTGGCACTCCAAACCTGAATCTCCCCCACCCCAGCCACAGAACCTCTGTCTTGGAAGGATTCAGTCTCCTCCGGCTCTGTTTCAGCCATCCCACCACAGACTCCAGCACCTCAGCCAGAGTTACTGGGGCAGTATCCAGCCAGCCGCCCATCAGCAGATAACACTGGGTATCATCAGCATACTGGTGACATCCCAGCCCGAAACTCTACGCCAGCTGGGCAAGGGGATGCATGTAAATGTTAAAAACATTGGGGAGAGGATTGCCCCCTGAAGGACCCCACATACTAATGTGATGGAGCACATGCCTTTTCTTTTAGTGAGAGCATAAAAGTTTTCCCACAATTAATTTAAGATTGTTGTACGTCTAAGAACAGATAACTATGGAATTCTTCTACCTATGTATAGCTAATGGAAGTTCAACTTCCCTATTATGAATCCCTGTAACAAACACGGCATGTGATGTTGTAGAATTTTAAGTTACTACTTCTCATATGACTGGGTCAAGTGTGAAACCTGAAATTTCACACATTGCGTTTAATATTCTGTAAGACTAATTAAGACTCACCAAAGCAATTAACACTTGGCACAATTCTACAATGTCAATTAAAGTCAGCAGTAAATTTCTAATGACGTGCTGAAGCATGGTTATACTAAAACTTCGCTGAACCAAGAATGTACACCCAAATCAGTGTGCTTCTCCCTTATAAGACCAGGCTAACATTGAACATACAAAAATCATGACTGCTTTCAGAAGCAATAAAAACCTTTTTAGCAGCTGTCTCTGATTTCCTGGTTTAACTTTCAGGGTAACATCAACCACAATCTTTCTGAAATATGTTATTTCTCCTTCATCAGATGGAGAAGTTATGGGACTTATTACTTTAACTTTATTGTTACTTGTTATAAAAAGAAGCCAACCCAGAATGTGGAAGTACTATGACAAATTTAGAAGTTTTAAGCTTTGTATACAATGTGGAATGACCCCTCCCCCAAGGAATCATACATTACAGAACAGAGCTTTAAAATAAGCAACATACAGAAAAGATGTTCACTTGAAACACAAACTTACAGCCACTGAACTGGGATGGAAAGCCTCTGGATCTTCAACTATATATTTTTTCAAAGGGCAGCAAGAGGATTGTACAGATAGGTAAGTAAAAGACATGCTATATCCCACAGTCATATATATATCAAGGTATCTGACTATCCACTGTCACTATCTCCAGAGTTTCATTGAGAAAAGCAGACTCTAAAGTAAGCAAATAAAAATATTACTCTTAAAAGAAAAGGCTGCTCAAGGATTCAGTGATGTACTGGCTTTTCCTATCTGCAATCATTTATTTCCAGCAACAGCAGCTCTGCATTTTTTTAACCAGAGTACAGCATTCAGACACACCACAAAGACATGTGGATTAGAAGCGGATGGAAATAGGAACCACTAACCCATGTTAACTTAAACTTTAAACAAAACACACTTTAGACCAATGATTCTTAATGGTGGCAACCTACAAATGTTGGAGGACATGCAGAATTTTAGGCAGCCCCCTTTCCCACTTCCATTGCTTCCAACAGCAAGTAGAGGCAAGTGTTTTATGTTCTCACTTCCCCTCAAGGATTGTCATAAACACTAGATTTCTCTCCCAGTCCCTTGAAAAATTCACACAAAAACAAACTAGACTCAAACCTAACATTAAAAGATTGACCAATGGCCATAAGGCACAAAAGTCTCATTGAATGTATACCTGAGATTTGTGTATTTATATACATAAATCATAAATACATGTCAGTTTGCTTTGTCTGGAATGCTACTTGCTATGAACTTGTTTGATACCTCAGATCCTCCCTGGACTGCTGCCTGACTGAATTCTCCCTTCCACGTATCCATGTAACCACAGCACAGGCCTACTAGTTCAGAGTTATGGAATGATTTTACCAAGCAGTTACAGAGGGCTGTTCATATTCCATAAGAAAAGGCTATTCTTTTTCTGTGAACATTTCTGCAGTTAGTTTCATAAGGAAAGAATTATTTTGATGGCAAACTGTATAGCAGTAATTTTTTTTTACTCGCCCATTATCTGTGGGTCTGATTTTTGCCTTAATCCACTGTGTTTGTTGGAAAAGCAGCATATAAGTATTTTAATTAATAAATGGTGGGGGCATCTAATAAGCCAGCACAGTGTAGGGGTTAGAGTGTCAAACTAGGATCGGGAAGACTTGGGTTCAAATTCCTAGTCTGCCATATTTATTTATTTATTTATTTATTTATTTGATTTTTCTCCCGCCCTCCCGCCGAAGCGGCTCAGGGCGGCGTACAACAACATACAATAAAACAACTCATCTAAAACAATCAATACAAACATTAAAATCATACTTTACACTCAATAAAACTTATTCAGAATGGCGACTATAAAGTGCTGCATGGAAGCTCAATGGGTGACCTTGAGCCAATCACAACCTAACCTACCTTCCAGGGTGGTTTTTGTAAGGAAAATGTGATGAGCAAAGGATGTGAGGGGAAATGTGATGGGCAAAGCCACTCTGGGTCCTCACTGGGAGAAAAGGAAGACGTAAGCAGTGTTAGGTCAAGGGGCCAATATCAAAGGTTAAGAACAACTGCTATCGAGTATCTTTCCATATTGGTATCACAAGCTCTAACGCTCAATGAACTTTCTATAGACTCACCTCTCCCTAAGTTAGAAAAAATCATAAGGGAGAAACAAATGACAGGTAAGGAGGAGAGAGCCTGAGAGGATGCCCCGAATGTCCTCTTTAGCAGAATGATTAGAAAAACAAAACGAAGTGCTGGGGGGGGGACCAAAGCCCCTGAACTTCAGACAGACCCCACCATCACCCAGGTATGGCGAACAACAAGGCACCGGCACAACGAGTGGAACCCCTGCGCTTTCCCTGCACACTGTCAGCAAGGGCACGCAGACGCCGGCCTTGACAAAAGTGGGGGGGGGGCGGGGGGGAGATTTCCCCCCAGGCCTCCCAATGGGTAAGGAGAATCAGAGGTCAGGGCTGAGGAAAGAGAAAAACCGCCATCCATTTCCCCTTTTTTCCCTTTCCCGGGCGAGGCACCAGTTGGCACTCGGGAGCATTCGCGGCCCAGCGGCTCCCGCCCCACACTTACCGGCGTCTGACGAGAGGGCAGAAAAGAGAGGGGGGGGGAGAGAAAGCAGAGGCACGAAAATCGGCCGACGCCAAAAAAGGCTCTTCCCCGTCACTGCTCCCCCATCCCCTCCGCGGTGACAGCAACGCCTGCCAGCGAGTCACGTGACGGCTGAAGAAAGGCGGGAGGGCAAATCAGCTGACCATTCACTTCCTCGTTTGACGCACAGTCAGGCGCGCCTCCCCGGATGAGAAGGGGACGGATTTAGAAGAGGGAGAGGATTTTAGGGCTACTTTGGGCGGAGGGAAAAGAGGACCGCCGTGATTGGTGGAGACCGGGAAAGGCTGTGTGGTAGTTTGCAGCGCTGGCCGCTTGAGGCTCAAGAGGCAGGGATGAGTCTCTCCATTCTGATTGCTTGAAATCTGCTTTATAGTGTGGTGATGGGACAGGAGGAAAAATATAGTCAGTGCTAAAATGTTTCCAGAGAGTGAGTCGCTTTCATCTGTATTGATTGGCTGGGTTATAATCTGAGATTTTTTAGTTGTTTTGTGCAGGTGTTTTGCATTAGGAGACCTAGTGTGGTCAACCCTGGATTAACTATTAAGCAAATAAACACATGCTTAATTTGGGACACCACAGAGTCCCCCCCCCCCAGCTATCATGCCCTTAACTTTTCCACTGCCACACTCCGTTTTAGTCACATTGTTGCAATTGTCCTTATCTGCCATGTTCGACTTTAATCTTCATTGTTAAAAAAAGGTTTTCTTTGACATGGTGAGTGACTAAGGTTTACAAGTTTAGTTTTGAAGGTTTTGTCAGATAGCACCCTTTTTTGTAATCTCATGTCTGAAAGTTTTGCTTTGGTCGAGAATAAACACAGCTGACTGGGTCTGTCTGGCATTTAACTCATCTACTGACTTGTGTAATGGACCTTTAAGCTCTTTATTATTTATTTTACTGATTTTTCACATAAACCAGGTAAAGTCTAGTGCCAAGGGGCTGTGTTTATGGCTTCATTGTTGGGCTGTGTTTATGGCATCAGTTGGCCTTAATCCAACCCTGAGTGTGGTGTAGTGGTTAAAAGTGTTGGACTAAGACCTGAGAAGGTAAGGTAAAGGTTTCCCTTGCTCGAAAGCCAGTCAAATCCAACTCTAGGGATGCGGTGCCCATCTCCGTTTCCAAGCCGAAGAGCCAGTGCTGTCTAAAGATGTTTCCGTGGTCATGTGGCTGGCCTCACTAGATGCTGAGGCGCATGGAACGCTGTTACCTTCCCACCAAAGCGGTACCTATTTATCTACTTGCAATTTCTTGCTTTCGAACTGCTAGGTTGGCAGGAGCTGGGACCAGAGATGGGAGCTCACTCCATCATGTGGCACTCAGGTTTCAAACTGCTGAACTACCAAATCTTCCAGTCTGCAGTTCAGCATCTTAACCACTTGAGCCACTGCAGCCCCTTAAGAGCTGAGAAACTCAGGTTCAAATCACCACTGATGCTATAGAAACTTAGTACAGTCACAATCCCTCAGCCTAACCTACCTTGCAGGGCTGTTGTGAGGATAAAATAGAGAAGAAAATAATGTAAGCTGCTCGGGTCCTCATCGGAGAGAAAGGTGGGGGATAAATGAATAAATTGTTTCTCTAATGTTGATTGTATTCTAATTTATTATAAAAATTCTTTGAACTTAAGAAAAGCCAATATACACAGTTGTAAAAGCTTGCTGGGGAAAAGATCAACAACCTCAGATATGCAGACGATACCACTCTAATGGCAGAAAGTGAAGAGGACCTAAAGAGCCTCTTGCTCAGGGTAAAAGAGGAGAGGGCAAAAGTCGGCTTGAAGCTCAACATAAAAAAACTAAGATCATGGCATCCGGCCCCATCACTCCTCCTAAAAGAAATCAACCCTGACTGTTCCCTGGAAGGCCAGATAATGAAACTGAAGCTCAAATACTTTGGCCACCAAACGAGAAGGGAGCACTCACTGGAGAAGACCCTGATGCTGGGAAAGATTGAAGGTCAAAGAAGACGGGGACGGCAAAGGATGAGATGGTTAGACAGTGTCATAGATGCAACAAACATGAAATTGAGCAAACTTCAGAGGATGGCGGAAGACAGGAGGGCCTGGCGAGATCTTGTCCATGGGGTCACGAAGAGTCGGACTCGACTGTGCGACTGAACAACAACAAAAAGCTGTATGTGGGAGAAATATGGGGCTTGCTATTTTGTTCTGGTTTTATATTTGTTGAGGCAAAAACTTTTGATGACCAGAACCTACGTTTGTGTGAGAATGCAAAAGATTACAGCCTATGCCATTATATACAGAACCCTTTAAACGTACAATAAGAACATAAGAGACGCCAATGTTGGATCAGGCCAAAGGCCCATCCAGTCCAACACTCTGTGTCACACAGTGGCCAGAAATACCAGTGCCATCAGGAGGTCCACCAGTGGGGCCAGGACATTAGAAGCCCTCCCACTGTTGACCCCCCCCCCAAGCAAGAAGACAGAGCATCACTTGCCCCAGAGCCCCTAGCTATACCTTGTGGCTAATAGCCACTGATGGACCTCTGCTCCATATGCTTATCTGATTCCCTTTTGAAGCCGTCCATGCTTGTAGCCGTCACCACTTCCTGTGGCAGTGAATTCCATGTGTTAATCACTCTTTGGGTGAAGAAGTACTTCCTTTTATCCATTCTAACCCAACCACTCAGTAATTTCATTGAGTGCCCACAAGTTCTTGTATTGTGAGAAAGGGAGAAAAGTACCTCTTTCTTTACCTGCTCTTTCCCATGCATAATCTTATAAACCTCAATCATGTCACCCCTCAGTCGTCGTTTCTCCAAGCTAAAGAGCCCTAAGCGCCTTAACCTTTCCTCATAGGGAAAGTGTTCCAACCCTTTTATCATTCGAGTTGCCCTTTTCTGCACTTTTTCCAAAGCTATAATATCCTTTTTAAGGTGTGGTGACCAGAACTGCACACAGTATTCCAAATGAGGTCTCACCATTGATTTATATAGGGGCATTATTATATTGGCTGATCTGTTTTCAATACCCTTCCTAATAATCCCCAGCATAGCATTGGCCTTCTTTATTGCAGTCACACACTGTCTCGACATTTTCAGTGAGTTATCTACTACAACTCCAAGATCTCTCTCTTGCTCAGTCTCTGCCAGTTCAGACCCCATCAATGTGTATTTATATTTAGGATTTTTGGCTCCAATGTGCATCACCTTGCACTTGGCCACATTGAACCCCATTTGCCATGTTGACGCCCACTCGCCCATCCTTGACAGATCCCCTTGGAGTGCCTCACAATCCTCACTGGTTTTCACCACCCTGAACAACTTTGTATCATCCGCAAATTTAGCCACTTCACTGCTTACTCCCATCTCCAAATCATTAATGAACAAGTTAAAAAGCAGTGGACCAAGTACTGATCCCTGCGGTACCCCACTGCTTACCACCCTCCACTGAGAAAATTGACCATTTATACTCACTCTCTGTTTTCTATTAATTAGCCAGTTTTTGATCCATATAAGGACTTGTCCTTTTATCCCATGATTTTTGAGCTTACTTAGCCATTATTAAGGAAAGAATTAGTAGGCATAGATGAACAAAACCTATTGAGGCAGACTCAGCATGGGTTCTGTAAGGGAAGATCTGTAAGGGAAGACTTGTCCTTTTATCCCATGATTTTTTAGCTTACTTAGGAGCCTTTGATGAGGAACTTTATCAAAAGCTTTCTGGAAGTCAAGGTAAACAATATCTATTGGATCCTCCTTGTCCACATGTTTGTTCACCCCCTCAAAGAACACTAACAGGTTAGTGAGACAAGATCTTCCCTTACAGAACCCATGCTGAGTCTGCCTCAATAGGTTTTGTTCATCTATGTGCCTACTAATTCTTTCCTTAATAATGGTTTCCACCAATTTACCCGGTATCGACGTCAGACTGACTGGCCTTTAATTTCCCGGATCTCCTCTGGAACCCTTTTTAAAGATGGAAGTGACATTAGCTACTTTCCAGTCCTCAGGAATGGAGGCAGATTTAAAAATTAAATTATTTTTAAAAGAGCCATGTATGGATTAATACTGAGCTATATTTGCCTTTAGAGCTATGGGTTGCAGAGTTCTGTGCTAAAGACTATGGGGTGTGGGTAAGGGCCTAGGAGAATATATCTTTGACCCTTCCTTCTCCAAAACCTGTTGTTGTTATCTAGTAATCTGTTGTTGATGAAGAAGAGTGATTTTAGTGGGCTCAAGGTGCTTTAAGGTTGAATTGTGGCGAGGAGGGAACGAGTAGGGGCAATGTTCTTCTCAAACAGAAAGAAGCATATCTGAATCTAGCCATAACAAAGGGCTTGCCAGTACAAAGGTCCCATGTCCATCTATAATTGTAGTAATTGACTGTTATAAACACCAGGATCAAAGAACACAAAAACAGGCACTGTACAACTGTGAAATGAAAGTCAAGTGTCCCCAAACCGATACTGTAAGTACACAGCAAGATGTACAAATTGAGTCTAACTGCAATGCATGGAAACACAATTCCCAGGGAGAAGCAGGGCCAAGGGGAGTTGCATATGAACTGTGATTTAAGCAGAGTGAAAGTGGCCTGCATGTCAGTGTCACTCACCCGTATTTACTCTGAAGCAAGATCTGTTGTGTTCAGTAGAGCTTATTACCAAGAAAGTGCGTACAGGACTGTGGTGTTAATTGTCAGCCTTGGCTTTTTATTTACGGTAGGGTGAACAGGACTGCAAAACACACCAAGCCATCATAATCCTCGCTGGAAGCTGCAAAATGGACTTGCAGCTTGTTTGTTAAGCACAGGCTGAAAAGGAGTCCAGAGATTGTTGAACTGAGATCAGTCAGAAGGCCCAGTATTCTAGAAGGCATTCATCTTCAATCCTAGTTGGGGTAAATTTATCACTGGCAGATCATGTCCAGAGTTTAGGGATGCTTTTGAATCTGACTTGGTTACTAAAGAAACAGGTTGGTGCAACAGTTGCTAAGAGCATCTTCTTCCCAGTGTATCCTGTTTAACACTTATTTATAATGCAATCCTAATTGGGAGCGGTGGCGCAGGTAGTTAAACGCCTGCCTTGTAGCATCATTCGAACAGCCACTATGGCTGTTCGAGTACCACCGTGGTCGAGGTGAGCTCTCGACCTTCGTCCCAGCTCCCGCCCACCCAGCGGTT